TTCACTTATATTTGTATATAATGAATATATATATATATATCTATCTATATAGATCTATATATATAGATCTATATAGATAGATATATATATATATATTCATTATATACAAATATAAGTTTATAGCAGGAGGCAATGAAATGGAGAGCTGACATGTCACTTGAATAAATCACAAACACGAGAAATAAAGGACAGTGACACCAGGCAGAATATTGTGTAGGAGAATCAAGGTTCTGACGATGAATACAACCAGATAACCCGTCCTGTAATAACAGACGACAGGATCCTCACCTATTCAGCACCGAGAGGACACTGAATGTACCTGTAATTAGGACATGGCTACCTGCAGGGACAATTCATTTACAGAGGAGGGTCAGTGTAGCCGGTGCTTCCTTTCATCGCTGTAGGAATATGTCTATTACCCAGCAGAGTAAAATATGTTCATGTATTGTATATTGCTATACATTATATCCTATATGTAATGACACCTCCAGGATCCCAAAGCTTTGTCTACAGACACCATGCTGCCATTTTGTGATGTGAAAATGAACTGCACTCTGCTTGATAATATAGGAACTTTGAATAGACAGGATTGTTTTTTATAATAGAAGAAGAATCTGATAATCTCACGTATCAGAGACAAAGAGAGTGTGAATAAAACAATACTAAACACTAATACATGACTGCTGCCTCTACTGATCATATAGATCACCCTCACGTAACTTGCATAACATAAATGGGATGTCTGCGAGCTCAATGAGATATTAACAGATTCATCTGCCTCTTCAGCTGCCAGCCCACTACCACGCAAGAACGGTGCCTGACCAAACAAAGACACCATGGAAGACCCTAAATAAAAAGACTCCATAGTGCCTGTGCTGTTACTCTCACGTAGTAAACGTGAATGGTGTCTATTGTGCTAGAGGAGCATGTGCCATCAACCATGGTGTAGCTCAGCTTTTTTCAACCTTTTTGTCCCAGAGGAACCCTTAAAATGATTTTCAGGTCTCAGGGAACCCCCTGCTAAAACTAGTTTATTGAAGGTCAGTGGAAAAAATGCCCCTTAAATCAGTGGTCAGAGGAAAGAATACCCCGCTTACAGTGATGGACAAAATTCCACACTTACCGACAGCTAAAAAAGATCATTGGTGTCATGTAGATGGCCAAGTGGGGTTGGCCCTGGAACTATGCAGACACCATCAAATGGATAGTCAATTAGTCACAGCTTAAGAAACCCCGAGCAACCTCTGGAGGAACCATAGGGTTCCAAAAAACCCTGGTTAAGAATGGCTAGTGTAACTACATCTAAATGTATTTACCTTATTGCCCCCATAACATCTATCTTTTATATATGAGCCAGCATAAGATTCCTTCAAGGACACACCAAACCCCCAGTATATGATCCCCATGAACAAATCCAACACCTAGCAAATGGATCCTCAAGAACACACCAAACCCCCAGTATATGATCCCCATGAACACATTAAAACCCCTAGCAAATGGTTCCTCAAGAGCACACCAAACCCCCAGCAAATGGTCCCCCATAAACACATCAAACCCCCAGCAAATGGTCCCCCAAGAACACACCAAACCCCCAGTAAAGGCTCCCCCAAAAACACATCAAACCCACAGCATATGGTTCCCCAACAACACACCAAACCCCCAGCATATGGTCCCCCAAGAACACACCAAGCCCCCAGCATATGGTCCCCCAAGAACACACCAAACCCCCAGCATATGGTCCCCCAAGAACACACCAAACCCCCAGCATATGGTCCCCCAAGAACAAGAAGCCCCCAGAAAATGGTTCCCAATAAACACACCAATCCCCAATCATATGGTCCCCCAAGAACACGCTTGCTTCCCTGAGCACAGGTATCATGGCATGGTACCACCAGGGTAGTGAGGTGTTAGGTGCCAAGTCCAGAAGGTGGCACTGAGTGTCAGGGACCCAAATAAAGGGCACTGTAGAGATGGAGGTGATTGTATACCCAGCACCCCTTTCATCTCAGGATACTCACAAGGAGTCCAGCAGAAGTTTGGCTGCCTCCTCGGGGCTGACACTTTGCTGTTTGACAAAGTTGATCCAGCGCTGCCTCTGAGCGCCCAGCTCCAGGAGATCGTCCTCCTTGCTGTCCTCCTCCACCTGCTTCTTCAATGCCGCCTTCTTGGCTTTGCTCTTCTTGGTGTCTACAGGCGCCGCCGCGGGTTTCGCTACCTCCAGCTTCCCTGATGCCCTCGTGTGGCGCTCCGCGGGTGCCCGCTTCGCCGGAGATTTTTTCGCTTTCACCATCTTGGCTGTGCTCGTCCCTGCGGATGTTCCCCCCGGGCACAGGCGCGCTATAGGAAGCCGAGTGCTCACTCTTCCCTCTCTACCCCCCTCCGGCTGTCCTTGCCCGGAGATAAGAGGCTGCCAGCGACTGATCGGGCACAGGACAGAGGGGAAGCCGCTTTTTTCGCTTTGTTTGGCTGCTTCTATCGCCTTCTCGCTATTCTCTCGGTTCGCTGAGTTTCCAGCAGGGGGCAGTGCAGAGCGCTGGAGGGGAGCGCAAACAGCGAGCCTACCATGATAGCTACATGGAGGGTGGAAGGGGCACCAGGTGCCTATGGTGGGGTGGTCTTACAGGAATCTTATTTACATGGAATCCATAGCCTGTAATCCAGATATTACACCAGAGTACCTGACCTTTACCTAGGGTGTCATTGACAGTCACATCATATACCATTGCCAACAGCAGAGTGTGTTACATCCAACATATTCATAGTTTTCCAACTGCAGACATATGAAATGCTTCAAATGATCCCTGTTATATTATATTACGGGGTAGAGCTTTATTCCAACACAAGGAAATGGTGTGCTTATATCAGATGGTTGCAAACTCTGGGGTGCATTGCCAGAGAAATCACCAGCAGGATGATCTGGTTCTTATTCCCCTATATAGATCTTTAGCTTTTACTATAGGGATCACTTCCAGGAAAAAGGAGGTCCTGATTCTTCTATATTAGAGGGATCCCCAGCCGAAGGAAGGAGGCCCTGATTCCTCTATATAGATCTTTAGATATCACTAGAAAGATCACCAGCAGTAGGTCCTGATTCCTCTATACAGATCTTTAGTTATCACTAGAGGGATCACCAGCAGGAGGAAGGGAGGTCCTGTTTTCCCTATATAGGTCCTTAGATATCACTAGAGCAGGGGTGCCCATAAGGTCGATCGCGATCACTGGTGGATCGCAATGTCCTCTCCTCCTGCCGGTGGGGCTTCTCTGGATCCCCGCTGCTCTCCCCATCTGTATGCAGAGGGGATCCGAGAAGAAGTGAAGGAGCC